ATATGTGTGTGTGTGTGTGTGTGTGTGTGTGTGCGTGTGTGTGTATACATATATATGTACAATGCGTATGTATATATATATATATATATGTGTGTGTGTGTGTGTGTGTCTATGTATAGTAACATAGGTGTAAATCCATGCGTGAAGAGAAAATCTATTTTGTTGCGGTTAATTGCTTGTATGATGAGTCTATTCTACCTTAGCTTGGACTCGCTGTATAAGCCGAAGAAAGTTGGTCATTTCCAAGTTTCCTAAACCTAATATTATTTTTGTTTTCATTTTCTTATTGTTATTACTGCACTTTGTTGCTATATCTCTTGCTATTATTATCATGAACGTTTTCATCATCAGCAGCATTACTATTAAACTGATATTACTATTATTGTTTCCATTGTTTATATATACAGATAAATATAAAATGTATCTATTTGTATGTGTGTGTGTGTGATTGGGTTCATGTGTATGTGTGTGTATGCGTACATATGTATGTGTATGTGTATTTGTGTTTGCGTGAAGGTGTGTTGTATGTGTGTGTTTGTACGTGTGCAGAGAAAGAAAGTGATAGAGTGAGAGAGAGAGAGTATTAATAAGACAGGCAGTATAGGAAACTGGCTACAATATACGGGGAGTATTGATATGGCATGCAATTGGTACGTAAGACACTCATGTTATGGTCAGGAGTTTTAGGCTATTGCTCGCTTTCTCTCTCTCTCTATCAATCTATCCATCTATCTTCATTCTCTAATGAAACGACGACAAAGAATTACAGTATAGATATATATTTTTTTCTCAACTCTGTACACATTTTCCTATCCTCGAGAGCGAGGGTGCTGACTGTTTTCGAGCCAAGCCGCGCACAGCACTAGAATCCTGCGGCTTGGAGCGTCCGATTTTCTTCCTCCCGCTGCCCATTCTGCGCCTGCGCCGCTCATCCCTTCTTCCCGAAGAGGCCACCAAAGAGAGGGAACAGATACCCCTCCCCTCCGAACAGGCCGAACTTGCCGCCACCGAACTTGCCGCCGCCTTTTCCGCCACCGTATTTGCCGCCACCGCCTTTTCCGCCGCCGCCGCCCTTATTTTTAAAGAAGGTCGGATTGGCTTCGGTGGCGGTGAACATCGCCGCCAACGCAACCAAGACCGCGACGAACAGGGCTGTCTGCAAAGGAGAAGGCGGGCCCAGATATTACTGCAGCTGCTATATATGAAAATGATATGAGATAGAGAGAGGCAAAGATGGATATATAGATAGATAGATTGTTAATAATGTAGAGAATACTTGATGTAATACCTGCACACACTCATGCACACTTCCGCGCACGCACGCACACACACACGAATACTCACGCACACTTAGACACACACACACACACACACGAATAATCACGCACACTTACTTAGACACACACATACAAACACACACTGGCCGCTGCTGCACTTATACAAATAAGTAAATGAAAAATAAAGAAAAAGAATGAGACTTCCCCAACCTTGATCATGCGGTCAGTTGAACTCTTTTACACCAAAATGTGGAAGGAAACCAGAACAGAACCTGTCTCTTGGTTCACTTACGATTCTCATTTTGCTGTGTGAAATACTGGCCGAGCTGGACACAAGTGCACCTTCGCCATTGTGCAGTCCTCCCTCTTTATACGGACGCCTTCTTCCTGCCTCCACGGCTACGGGATCGGTGTCGCAAATTTGGACTCCTTTCGCCAATGGTAAATAGCGGCCACAGAGGCTTCAGCCCAAACTGGACAGGGGTAAGCTTAAACAAACGAAGGAAGCATGTCTGATTTTTCCTGTTTCACTTGTTTACAACAATACCATAGATCTCATAATCAAATAAACCGAGATGTTTGGCACCAAACACTCACTCAGGGACATCCCGCTAGTTGGTAGGCTCTCACGCTACAAGCGAACGTCATACAGGAATGCACAAGCAGGTTCCTAGTATGGAAATGTCTGACCATTGTCAATGCAGCAAGTATAGCATACGTATATGGGGAGCTGAAGTTAAGAAAGCATTTTATTGTTATTCAAGCCATTAAATGATGTAGTTCCAAGGACCAAAGAAAGCATATTATTATATTCTCTAAAAGGTATAAAACCGTTAAACAGTAATTTTATCCTTCTATATACATATATAGATATATGTATACATGTATATAAACTTATGTACATATAGATATATTTATCTATATGTATGCATATACATACATACATACATACATATATATATATATAAACATATAGATAGATATATTTACATACATTTATATATACAGATATATATAAATCTCTCTATCTATCTATATGTGTATCCATATCTATCTTGTGTGTGCGTGTGTGTGTGTGTGTATAAGTGAATAAACTTATCAATATATATACATATCTAATACAGTATATATGTATATATATGGATATATACATATATACATATGTGTGTGTGTTTGTGTAGATATATAAACTTATATATAAACATATATATAAATATATATATACTATATATATATATGATATATATATATATATATATATATATATATATTTACATATATGCGTGTGCAGTATATATATATATATATATATATATATATATATATATATATGTATGTATATATATATACTGCATACACATATGTATAAATATATATATATATATATATATATATATATATATATATATATATATATATATATATATATGAATATTGTTATGCAGTTATTACATAATAAATGAAAAATATCAAAGAATTATCATACAAGGTGTAATATATTTAAGTCTATGTTGAAATATCTTTTTTTTTTTTTGGTTATGTAGAATACGTTCTCATTCCTTTGCATTCATAAATGCTTATATAGTTGTTATTACGTTATTGTGTATCTATGAATAACTATATAATTATTTGGGAGAAAGTAAAATTATTTTATTTGAAATGTATTAGTAACAGCCACAAAGGCGTAGAGGAAGTTGAGTTAATTTTAGCATGGACGTCTGCAGGTTGTCAGCGTACCATGGCAGCCTGGGTTGGATGTAAGAAATTGTATGTGTTTTTCTAAGGCTTCTTCTTGCTTTGAATTACTGATCATGAGTAATTAGTGAACCAGCAGGATAGTTGGGAACTTTTAGTTTTTCATGTTACAGGCATTATGATTTCATTCAACATATATTCTATAAATGTGATTTAAGTGTGATCACGTGTCATGTAAACACCAAATGGTTTTATGCTTTCCCTTTGTGCCTTATATGGACTTCATTTATACTTTTGTTTTATATAATTATTAAGGCATTATTTTGTAAAGGTTAAAGGATTCAATGTGTTATTAAACTATTAAATTTCAAAGAATCAGTGGTTGTTTGGATTTATCTTTGTTGGACAAAAAAATAGACTTAGGAGCTGATTGTTGCAAGGTTAGTCCACTGCAATTGCCAGTGGTGAATGTGGTCACACATAGTCGACCCAGTGGAAAGTTGTATGAGGATATATATGCTATATATACTATGTATATGTATATATATATATACGAATATAGATATGTATATATATGCATATATATGTATATATATGTATATATATATATATATATATGTATATGTTTAGCCAATATATCTATGTATATGTATATATAAAGATAAAATTACTGTTTAACGGCTTTATACCTTTTAGAGAATACAATGATATGCTTTCTTTGATCCTTGGAACTACATCATTTAATGGCTTGAATAACAATAAAATGCTTTCTTAACTTCAGCTCCCCATATATGTATACTATACTTGCTGCATCGACAATGGTCAGACATTTCCATACTAGGAACCTGCTTGTGCATTCCTGTATGACGTTCGCTTGTAGCGTGAGAGCCTACCAACTAGCGGGATGTCCCTGAGTGAGTGTTTGGTGCCAAACATCTCGGTTTATTTGATTATGAGATCTATGGTATTGTTGTAAACAAGTGAAACAGGAAAAATCAGACATGCTTCCTTCGTTTGTTTAAGCTTACCCCTGTCCAGTTTGGGCTGAAGCCTCTGTGGCTGCTATTTACCATTGGCGAAAGGAGTCCAAATTTGCGACACCGATCCCGTAGCCGTGGAGGCAGGAAGAAGGCGTCCGTATAAAGAGGGAGGACTGCACAATGGCGAAGGTGCACTTGTGTCCAGCTCGGCCAGTATTTCACACAGCAAAATGAGAATCGTAAGTGAACCAAGAGACAGGTTCTGTTCTGGTTTCCTTCCACATTTTGGTGTAAAAGAGTTCAACTGACCGCATGATCAAGGTTGGGGAAGTCTCATTCTTTTTCTTCATTTTTTATTTACTTATTTGTATAAGTGCAGCAGCGGCCAGTGTGTGTTTGTGTGCCTAAGTAAGTGTGCGTGAGTATTCGTGTGTGTGTGTGTGTCTAAGTAAGTGTGCGTGAGTATTTGTGTGTGTGTGCGTGCGTGCGCGGAAGTGTGCATGAGTGTGTGCAGGTATTACATCAAGTATTCTCTACATTATTAACAATCTATCTATCTATCTATATATCCATCTTTGCCTCTCTCTATCTCATATCATTTTCATATATAGCAGCTACAGTAATATTTGGGCCCGTCTTCTCCTTTGCAGACAGCCCTGTTCGTCGCGGTCTTGGTTGCGTTGGCGGCGATGTTCACCGCCACCGAAGCCAATCCGACCTTCTTTAAAAATAAGGGCGGCGGCGGCGGAAAAGGCGGTGGCGGCAAATACGGCGGCGGAAAAGGCGGCGGCAAGTTCGGTGGCGGCAAGTTCGGCCTGTTCGGAGGGGAGGGGCATCTGTTCCCTCTTTTCGGAGGCCTCTTCGGGAAGAAGGGATGAGCGGCGCAGGCGCAGAAGGGGCAGCGGGAGGAAGAAAATCGGACGCTCCAAGCCGCAGGATTCTAGTGCTGTGCGCGGCTTGGCTCGAAAACAGTCAGCACCCTCGCTCTCGAGGATAGGAAAATGTGTACAGAGTTGAGAAAAAAATATATTTCTATACTGTAATTTTATGTCGTCGTTTCACTGTAGAGGCAGAGAAAGAGAAAGAGAGATCACCTTACATATCGACTGCAAGCCATATCGAGTCACCCCGTACAGTGCAACCAGTTTCCTGTACTGCCTGTTTTATTAACACTCTCACTCTATCGCTTTTTTTTTCTCTGCACAAACACATATACATACACGCACACACATACACATACACACATATACACGCATGTGTACACACACACACATATGCACGCATGCGCACACACACAAACATATATACACACACAAACGTACACATTTACACGCATACACATACACGCATACGGACACACGCACAAACACAAACATATGCACGCATGTGCATACGCACACATACACACACATACATACACACAAACACCTACACGCATACACAAATACAAAAACACATACACACATACTTCACACACACACATGCACGCATACGCGCGGGTGCACATACACACACATACATACACACATACACACACACATACACACTTATATATATATATATATTTATATGTATATATGTATATTACATATACATATTATATATACAAATATATATATATATCACATTTATATAATGATATGCACATATATGTAAGTGAATGTTTGTTTCTTTGTTCAATAGCCATTATATTATCCACTGGGGATCTAGGCCTCCCCAATTTATTATTGAGAGGTCATTTGGCAGTGTCACCCTTACTTGATTGGATGCACCTCCTAATCAACCGTGGTTAATCGCGATTGCGCCACGGTGGCGACTTTCCCTATGACACCTATGTTTGATTTCTCAAGCCGATATGTCGTTTTCTCGCAGTCGGAGCGTAGGCTGCGGTGGCGGGGAATTGAACTCGGGACCACGTGGGTCGGAGCCCAGTGCTCTATCCACTGGGCCATTGCGGCAGTATATTAGTGAAAATATATGTATATATATAAACATATATATAAATATATTTATATATATACATATATATAATATATTTATATATATACATATATATACATATATGCATACATACATGTATGTGCATATATATATATATATATATATATATATATATATATATATATACATATATATATATATATATATATACATATAAATATATACTTACACACACACACACACAAATATATATATATATGTATATATATATATATATATATATATATATATATATATACTATATATTTATATAAACATATTTATACACACACACGTACAAACAATACCCTATATATATATATATATATATATATATATATATATATATATATATATAGGGTATTTATGTTGAGACACACTTTGCGAGCCTGGCCAATGTCTCAAAAGAGTATTGCGCATCACAGGAAGCATATGGAATAGTATCGATATAGTTAAGTCATTTAGTTTCTTTCGTGTAAACACCAGAGATTCGGTTTTGGGTTCGAGGTTCGAATTCATTGAGTTGAATTAGCGACTCTTTGCCACGAATCTTTCATTCCGTCGTCTGAAATCGCATAACGAGTTAGCGAGTTTTCTTTATCTTTTAATTTATATTTTAACTTTTTTTCTTTGGAGGGCGGGTGTATTTCTGTTTGATTATAAGGATTCATTTATTTACTTAGTGTATTCAGTATCATGGATATATCAAATGTATGCTTATATGTGCTGAAATGCGGTAATCTTGTCCCAAAGCTTGACTCCTTTCACTTCAACGACCGGTTGGTGAGGACGTCAAAAATGTTGTCTACAAGTTGAATCTACCAAAACTTACGGAAAAGTAGAAGGAAAATGACAGAACAATATTCCTGTCACGTAACAGGAAAATCACTTCATAAATTATTCGGAAAGTGCAGGTAAGTTATTTTGAGACTTAATAGCATGGAGGACCAAGGATATCTCGTGGATTTTAGATAAAGAAAATTATATCTTTATTGTGGTTCTTAACCTTAGGAATATGACTTGGCTGTCCTGAATCTGTTATAATAAATCAGGGTAAAGACCCTGCAGATTATATTAACTTTAATGTTGCTCAGATAAAACAAAGAATTTCCTTGAACCATTATTTTTGTCTGCACACACACACACACACACACACACACACACACACACACACACTCACACACACTCACACACACACACACACACACACATACACAAATACACATACACACACACACACATACACACTCACACACACACACACACATACACATACATTTATATATACATATATACTTGGTTACCTAGCGTAGGTTGGGGGATCGTGCTAGGGCCATCCAAGGTGACTAAGAACTGTACTTGATGGGCATAGAATATGATTCCGCGTTCATTCACTAGAACTTGGAAGTTCGTCAGGTACTGAATTCAACCAGTAGTTTAATTTTCCTTTAAACGCTCCCTTAGAGCAGTGAACTCTGTTCTTAATACTTTTTGGCCTACTTTAAAATATTTTTACCATCAATTAAGTTTCTTGATCGGAACGTATGGGCTGTTATCCCAGAACGATTGCTTGTTCTACCTCGTTTTTCTCTGATGCCGAGTTTTCAATGATCAACACATATGTCATTAGTATGACTTTTCAGGTGAAACTTTTTGAACCGTTTCTAGCAATATTGTCTTTTGTGAGACTTGGATTCTATACTTGACATTGATATTCCAGTCTTGGAATCACTAGTGATTTACAAAGTGGCAATAGTTTTTTTTATCTTTTGCTTGAAGAATTTCATCTATCCACTATCAACATCTCCTTTATTGAGTGCCTGCCCAGTATCATGGTTGAAGCTCATATTACTCACGAGCAGACCTAAGTCATCCGGAAAAAGTATATTCACAAGTGTTTGATATCTGCATCAATATCTCCAATCAAAGTTGGAAAGAAGAGTTGTCAAGAACTGAGCCTTGTACTTCACTTCTCACAGGTTGATTCATTAGAATGATATCCCTTAATGTATGCACAGTCACGTGCGCGCGAGCGCGTGCACACACACACACACAAACAAAAACACACACACAAACAAAAACACACACACACACACTGTAATGACAGGTGTGGTTTTATATCCCACTGCGATGCCACCACTGTAATGATGTGGATTTTATACCAGAGCGGTGCCACCAATTATGTAATGACACAGTGGTGGGCTTATTCGCTCTCTTGTAGGGAACAGCCTCTGGGCTAGTACAGTGGTAACGTGTCGGCCTCTCATCTGAGGGGTTGGCGGTTCGTGCCCCGCCTTGGCGGTTCGTGCCCCGCCCAGGCGCGAGAAGTTGCAATTGTCGCCTGGAGGTTACTGCTGTGACTGGGCACCACGGTGGGTAAGGACTAAGCTCATCCGAGTCAGCACCTGCTGACACACTGTTAGCGAGTCGACATTAGTCGGCACAGGCCGGGCTCCCCATAGCCCGGGCGAGGCTCAGCTTCGCATATCGGACTTATCCTTTTATCCTTGTAGGGAACTGCCGATTGTTTCTTGAAGTGAAGTGGTGTTGAAGTTAAAGTTGTCTCAGTTTCAAGCACTTTTATTTGCACGGGAGTATGGTAGGTGGTGTACAGAGGTCAGGCGTGGCAGAGTCGGCCAAGGAGCGAGACCTCTTGCCACGCCTGCTAGGCGAGCGGTCAGAGAGAGAGCGGTCCCGAGCCGATGCTGAAGGCAGAGTGATTTCAGTACTGGTTCTCTGGTTTACAACAGGGTAAGAGTCTTGTGGTCACAGGTCTGGTCAGGGACACTGGATAAGACAATACAATTAAATCATGAACATTGGATAACTACAATATCAGCAATAATGATGATTACAAACATAGTGATTGTGAATAAAGATTTTTTAACAAACATTTTGAGTATAATCAATATCTAAATTAACATGTAGTTATAAAGTATTCGACGGTAAGGGTCGGAATCGCTTGCTCTGTGGGCACTTCACTATTGTCGTTACTTTCTGTGCGCAGGTCAAACTTGGCACAGTCGATTACCACTAGGGTCTTGGGTACCGTGGGAAGTCGAGGGGAAAGTAGAGGGGAGAGGTCACACACACAAACACACACACACACACATACACACATTTATATATGTGTGTATGTATGTATACATGTAAACATATATACAAACAGAGATGGCAATATCGCGATACATATCAATTGATATTTTTGTATTGGAATTGGCATCGACTTAGTTACTCAATAATAGTATTATTTTAACGTATCACTTGGAGGATTTTCTCATAATGTATCAGAAATCCGATACATCGATACATTTACATGGCTAATTTGAAATTAGAATTAATATTCAGTTAAAGATATAATATCACGAGTATAATACTTGGTGAATGATTAAACTTTCCAAGTGTCTAAATGGTGCATTAATGTAAATGCATCTGACATATTTTTATGAAAAAATATGGGGCTATTTCATAGGCCAACTCTTACATTATGATATAAAATAATGTTTGGTGCGCCAGTGTATAGTATATGTAATGTAGAGATAGATAAAGTGATATCAAATGAATACCTTCTGTGACACGAAATGATGCCACACTCATTTCTGGTTACCCGAGTGGCCGCCTCACCTAGCGAAATGTACCTCCAGTCGATTACCAAAATTATTGAAGTATTAATTTGAAGAAATATATGCATGTAACACTTCCACCAATTGGAAATTGATAGCTTCAATCGTTTTTACTATTAGGAAGCCAAAGGCTAAAACAACAGTTTCGAAAAAGACGTTAAAGTTTTTGATAATTTTCTCCCGTTGTATCTGCCTTGAATCGCTTCTTTACTCCGATATTTTCCCATCATCACTTCCTCCCGTATCACAGTTGCAGCCATCAATCCATTCCCCAGCAAATTACAAAGAGTAATCAAACAAAGCAATAAACATGAAAATGTACTTGAGGAAATGGGGAGCGGATATCCGAATTTTGCTTGTCGTTAGTGACTGCGATCCTACATCCTACATAATACGTTTCCTGATGTATCTTTGATAAATGCTTGCACTGTTTGCTGGAACGAAG